TTTCTATTAATATGTATAGCTAATAGCTCATGTTAATCTGCCTGCACTCCATAAAAGCATGGAAACTGTAAGTGAACACATCTAGGATGTTGCAATAAAATCCTCATCGTGTCTCCCGCCTTAGGCATTCATTTCAACAATAAGGACAGGAATCTGAACTATGGAAATCTTTACGAAGTGTCTGATGCAAACTATTCAGATGAACAAACACTATTTCTAATACAGACCTGAATTTCTGCAAGGCGGAACCCCTGGAAGGTCTGCCAGCTGACTGACTTCTTGCATCAGGATCTCTGCAGTCTTTGTAGAAACAGTTGTCCTCAGATTCTTATTCTGTACTACCCATTCAGCCTCTGCAAGGAGGTCAGAAATAAAACATTTGAAACAAACACCCAGGACTCTATGTAAATCAACCTTTACACCAAACATTTGCAAATCAAATCTTTCTTTTACACCAACACATATTAAAATACCAAGGTTTATTTTTCTTCATTTTAACCAAACTTCCTGGAACACTGCTGATAATCCTTAGGTTTCTGCTGTTTAGGTCATGTCCCCAATGACCTTAGGCAAAACCTCACTCTGTGAAATCTTGGTTTTTATTTATGCTTGCCTAAACTAGCGCGTGAAAATTCCTGAGATGATAGGAAACCAAGAGGCCAGGCCCTAGGGTGAGGTGAGCCTAAAACTTATAGGTCCAGGCTGTAGTGATCCCATCTTTTTCAAAGTGGCATTAACTTTTCTTAAGTCTTGTAAAAATCTCCATTTTCCATGAGTTTTCTTTTGTATTACAAATATAGGCATGTTCCAGGGGCTGTTAGAGGGCTCTAAGTGCCCTTTATCTAATTATTCTTGTATAAGACCCTGTAAATGAGGTAATGTATTACTAGAAATAGGCCATGATAGGGACTGGTAAGACTGGAGTGAGGAAATAATTCCTCCTACCCCCCAGGAACTGGGGCTTTTTGTGGGCCAATGTGATGGCCAGTCCTCATGTCTAATAATTGATTGATCAGCCCCTCTATCTAACAGACCCTTTATAGCAATTCCCTGTACTATTAGGGCCATTGTAGGCTTAAGGTCAGATGTTACAGGGTGAGTCCATAATGCCCAGGGGGGTTTACTCCCACTGAGTCTGTTGACCCTCTTGGTTGCAGGGCTGAGGGCTGCCCCATCTCTCATTTAAATTTTTGTTATTTTTGTTGAAGTTAGAACAGCAATCTCTAGCCCAATGGAAACCTTTTTGACATTTAGGACATTTTTTATTTGGTTTAGGTCTTGAGCCTAAAGGTGGGGGATCAGGTGTAGGCTTGCAATCTATGAGAGGGCATTTTCTCGCAAAACTGACCCATTTTTTCCACATTTAAAACATGGATCTTTCAGTCCCTTTCTTGGGATCCAGGAGCACCGCTTCTAGTCCTGACCCCGCCCTCACCTCTCTCTGCTTCCCGGGGCCTGCACCACGGGCTAACTCTCCTGGCCTACACTACTATCCTCAGACCTCTTGGGGTGAGTCTATAGCACAGATCTCCGCGCAGGGACTCCCTAAGCCACATTCACCCTTCCATCCCGCCACCTTGCCGTTCTATACTCCGAGTTTGGGCCCTGTGCCATTCCTACTCTTGGGGCCCCAGACACCTGGGGAACCAATACTGCTTCCTGACCCTTCTCACCCAGAGCAACTCAGTCCCTTTCTTGGGCTCCAGGAGCACCACTTCTGGTCCTGGCCCTGCCCTCACCTCGCTCTACTTCCCTGGTCCTCCAACACCCGCCAGCCTCTTTCTGGGGCTGACAGCCTCTTTCTAGGGCTCCGAGGCTTAAATGATGTTTTAACCTTTAAAAAGATCTCCATTTCATTATTAAAATACACAGTTTCATATAGAAAACTTCTTTTTCAATGCAATTGACATTGGATGTTTGCACATGCATTTCTAATCTCTAAATATCTGATTATTACTAGTCACAGTTGGTTACTTTCTGAGCTTCTAGGCATCTGAGCATGGATATAAAGTCATCAGGTAGATTTCAATGGTAACGTTTTTCACATCTACTAATTATTGTTTTTTAGTCATTATTAAAAAAATAATCTTGACTTTTTAATGGAGCAATTGCTGCTTTACATTCTTGAGTTGAGCCATCAGAAGCAAGTTGTTTTATTAAAATCTGGGCAGCTTCTACATGAGGAACCTTAGCCTCTACTGTTCACCAGACCCTAGCTAAGAATTCAGCCCATTGCTCCTGTGGCTTTTGTTTGAGTTCAGCTAAGCTAGTTCTCGTTGTCTCGCCATCCGGTGTGGATCTTCAGGCTCTTGAGGCACAGAGGCACACCTGATGAAAATATTGAGCTGGTAAAACCTTTTGTGCCTCAGCATCAGCATATTGACCTTCGCCCTTAAGCATGTCAGCTGTCATATCAACATTAGCTTGAGCATTTCTTGCTGCCTGTTCAGTGCATTCATCATAGTATTTAGACATAAAAAGGAGCCATTGTCCCAGAGACAGGGCAGCCTGGGTGAGGTGTTTAAAGTCCCAAGCAGTGACTAATTTACAGCTAAGCTGATCAAAGATGGCCATGGTAAAAGGATCATGCATACCATTTTTCATCATGGCCTTACACATTGCTTTCAGTGTTTCAAAACCAAAAGGACTATGCATTTTAAGTTCAGGGTTGTCAGCTGCTGCAGAGCCAGCTGGAATGTGAACTGGAAAGAACCGAGGGGATGGATATGGCAAGGGAGCTAAAGGTTCTCTAGAGAAACTGTCTCCTGTGACAGATTTTGAAACATGGGAAGGAGAGATTCAGGGTCAGAAGTAGAGGGCAAGGTATAAGAAATATATGCCATGGGGAATGCCGAGGAAGAAGGAGATGTGGGGAGAGGTCCCAAAGTGGGGCCAACTCTCCCTCTCTAACAGAATTAGAGGCAGGTGGTTGCATTCCCAGAGGCTGTACCATAGCAAGAGGGAGTGCTGACAGCTTCACAGCACCCAGAGGAGGTGTGGCAGCTGAGTAGCAGCCTGAGAAGATTCCTGCTGTTGGGCTGTTGTGGAGGGAGAACTGGAGTTGGGAGGGAGCAGAGGTGGAGGTGGCTGGGCCACAGAGGGAAGGGGTTCCTCTCTTATTTGGAGACACTGGCAAAGAGCAGACCAGAGAGGGAAATAGAAGACAGGAACAGTCTTTCCCTGCTTTTGATAATTCTGTACATTATCTCCTACTCTTTTCCAAGATTCCAAGTCAATAGTTCCCATAGCAGGAAACCAAGGATTACATTCTATAGTAATATCTAAAAAGGCCTTAATCTGAGTTTCTGTACATTTAATTCCTTTAGATTTGGCATGCATTTAAGAATAGATTGGAAGTGAGACCAGTCTGAAGAAAGAGAATTATCCATATTTACAATTGCCCCTTTCCTATGAACCAGCGTGACAAGGGGATCCTATCAGCCAAAAGGGGGAGGATTGCTCTGTCCACAGTGAAGCAGAGGTCTGAGAGTGTCCCTGTTTCAGGCGCCAGTTGTCAGGACTCAGGTTTGCTTTGCTTAGTGGGGTACCTACTGGCTTCGGGGCAGAGGGTCTTATCGGTAACAGAGTCA